AATTTGCCACTATCCTAGGTTTTGCCCATTTGTCAGTAAGATTTATTTTACTAATTTAAAACACAATCAAATTTTATATGCTCCCTTATTCTTTTATATATTTTAATATGTACACGTCAGAATAAGCATGTTGTTTGAATTTTTACATAAATATTGTGTTACACTGAATGACAATGTAACATTATTTCAACCTAATTTTGACATTTTATCCTCCAAAAACATATTTGAAACCTTAAAAGTAGACACTTTACTTACATTTAATGTGCTTTCTATGGACATAAAATCACTTTTGTAAATTTCTTTTGATGGGGACATCTTAACGTATTTGACCCAAAAATACATGGAGTATAATCTGATAATTCTAAACATTATGTGGTCAGTAAAAATACTGAATGTAAAATGGTGAAGTCATTTGCTCAACAAATGTTGACAAACTATTTTAATAGAAAAATTACTGACCTGAACATTATCAGAGTCCTGACTGGCAAGTATCTCATAAGGAGGGTCAACAAAATAAAGCGAGTGTCTTGGAAACCCTGGAATGATGTTGCTGAGCTGGAAGCCAAACATAACCAGCCAACTCTTCACATCTGCAAGACAAAACAGAGGAACCAATGTGAGTCATTTATACTTTATACAGGAACATAACTTCTAAGCTCAGCCCATATATACAAAGCAGAACATTTGATCACCCTCTCACCTGTCACATAGTTTTTCACATCAATCATATCGCTGAGTGGATTATTGTTCTTAAACATATACAGGTTGAACGGAGCTGGTTCTTTGCATATCTTCGGCCACAGTGTATGGTCAGGTGCGATCCATCTTCCTGCCAGCACGTCGTAGTCTCTCTGGGCGAAGTGCACCAGCTTTGTGAGAGGATCATAAAGCCCTCCATGAAAGCCCAATATGAGCTGGAAATCCAGGTTGGAATCATGGTAGATCTCTCCGTACGCCGTGTACTGCATCTGCTTGACCATCTGCCCATTGCTGCTGAAGATGGCCAGCGGAGTGCCTACGTTGTCAGAGGCGATGTAGTATTCCTCCCCACCACTGACCTCCATAGCAAATAGATGACCCTGCAGGTCATAGTAGAAGGAGGCGATTTCAGCTCTCGAGTGGTTGTAAACATGGGTGACCCGAGTGGGGTAGTTCAAGTCAGCGTAGAAGTACTGCTGATGCTCGCCTTCGTTAGTTCTACGGGAGACACGGCGACCCAAGCCATCGTAGCGGTAGCGGACGCTCCAACCTCCTGCTATGCGGCTGTAGGCTCGCTCGAGAAGACCTTTGGAATTGTACTCAAAGATGTCCGAGCCCCTCTGTGCAAGCATACCATCCTCATCGAGCTGATACTGCATATCGCCGAGCCGCGTGATTCGGTCTCGAAGATCGTAGCGTAGTGGCAGCAGACGGGCGCTGTTACCGGGGTTCAGCAAATGGAGATTGCCATTTAGGTCGTAGCTGTAGCGCCAAGTAGACCAGTCATCAACCTTGACACCAACAAGCTGGCCGTCACCATCATATTCGTAGCGGTACTGTGTGGTATTGGCATATGGACCGATCTTTAGTTCACGTTTAATTACGCGACCCATACTGTCATACTGCACCGTCATCCAATACATCAACGAGCGGAAGATCTCGTACTGCACTTCCTTGATGCGACCATGTGCGTCAAAATGCTTACTGAGCGTCATCACTGCCGTGGTAATGATTTGGTTGATATCGTAGTATATGATGCCAAACTTGCCAAAGTGTTCGACCTTACCGGAAATCTCATCGTAGCGGTACAGGTCCACAGGAAGTGGGGTTTCCCCTATTACTGGCTTTATGCTGGCCACCCTGAAGCTGTTGTCATGATAGGTGTAGTCAAAACGAGCATTAACCATTCCTTCTTCTGAGAAGCGGTACATCTGTTTGTCCACTAGGGGGCCGAGTTTGCGATAGCGAATGGTGCAAGAGAAGCCTCCACTCTGTAAGTTGACCATTTTAAGCACTCCAGTCGCTTCATCATAACCAAAGGTGACGGCAGTGGCGTCATACAGCACCTCCGAGAGCTTTCCGAGCTTCCCGTACTTGTAGAGCACACGCCGGCCCGTTCCGAGGTAGAATGTAGCGCGTGGACGCCCATCCTCGCTGAAGTCGTGGATAATGGTGGCATTGCTCTCAGGGGGGTTGTAGGTGTTGCGAATGTAACCAACAGACACGTGGGTGGCCATAGTGTGTCTGGCCATGCTCGGCATAGTGACCGCCGTGAGCCGGCCCGCTGTGTCAAAATCAAAGACGTACTGTTTCTGACTCTGCTGGAGCAGCAACACCATGGACTGCAGAGTGAAAGAGAAAGAAAACAATGAAAAGGTGAACAAAATGAGTATATTAACAGTGTAGGAAAAACAAATCTTTTGTTGTGATTCAAGAGAGTCAACTCACTTTGTCAATGTAGCTGAAGCTCCAAACTTTCCCATCAACAAAGGTTCGGGACAGGATCCGTCCAAATGTGTCAAACTCGCTTTTCTCGCTCATGCTGCCCCTCTGCAAGCCCACCAACCGGCTGGTGGGTGAATAAGACACATTGACTAGGGCTAAGCTGCTGCTGGGGAGCCAGGTGGCCGGTCGGCCCTGGGCGTCATAGATGATGCGCAGAGTGAACTTGCGGTGGTCATCGTAGATCTTCTCTGTTCTGGTGTTGCGGTCATAGTCAATGGACAGAAGGTTTCTGCTGTGGACCTGTGGGAAAACATTTAACATTTTTAGAAGCTCTAAACTATCAATTCAAACATCAAATGTTGCAGTTTTCTTAGCAAATCAAGTGATTGATTGTTTATATTGTCACAGAATGTAAACTATCCAATCAATCGCCAAGCTCTAAACTGCCAAATGAGTTAAGATATTATAAACATTAACATTCTGAATTTCTGTAAAGCTGCTTTGAAACAATGTGTTGTGTGAAAAGTGCTATACAAATAAAATTGACTTTACTTGACAACTTCAATGGTAAAAAAAAGCTTACACGCAACTTCCTGCCAAACACTGTGACCTTGCCCTTGGTCAGCTCTTTTCTCATGCGCCATTCGATAGAGTTGAGGCCGCTGTCAGTGGGTAGAGTGATGTTGCGTCTCCCGATGGTCGGGCTCACCGATCCTGCAATGATGTGCGGTTCAGTGTGAAAGCTGATGCCCATTCCATTAGCATAGGATACTCGCAGTGTGCCGTTGTGGTACAACTGATAGCTATTCCTCACTTGGTCTGTGAAAAGGCAAAAAGAATTATAAAATCAGATTATATTCTTTAAATAGTACATTATAAGCAAACATTATATAATATTTCAAATATCATACACTACTGCTTAAAAGTTTAAAGTTTAGTTAACTTTAGTTAACTTTTTTTTTTTTTAAAGAAGTCTCTTACACTCATCAAGGCTGCATTTATTTGATCAAAAATACAGTTAAAAAAAAAGTAATTTAAAATAACTGGTTTATATCTTAAAGTATTTTAAAATGTAAATTATTCCGGTGATGCAAGGCTGAATTTTTTAGTATCATTACTCCAGTTTTCAGTGCCACATGATCCTTCAGAAATCATTCTAATTTGCTGATTTGGTGCCCAAGAAACATTACATATTATAAACGTTAAAACATGTTTTGCTGTTTAATATTTTTGTGAAAACTTTGATAGAGTTTTTTTAGGGTTCTTTGATGATTTTAAATTTAAAAAGTAAAAAATAAAAAAAAAATCTTTTGTAACATTATAAATGACTTTACTGTAACTTTTGATTTTTTTTAATTAATGCATCCATGCGGAATAAAAGTGTTATTTTCTACTTCAAAAAAAAAAAAAAAAAACTGACCACAAACATTTGAATGGTTTTAAATGGTCAAATAAGTTTTTAAAGTAAAACAGAAAAAAAAGAATAATAAAACAAAATCATATATCCTAACATCTACAATCCAGAGAAGTCCAGACAGATAAAATCATACTGACACCAAACTTTTAAACGGTAGTGAAATGCTTATGAAAATATGTACATATTGTTTCATGGCATTTATGTACACTAACTATTATCTATCTGTGAAGTATGTTTGTATTAAGGCGAGTTAATATGAAGTGTTCCCTAAAACCAGCCTCATTTAATTTAGTATGAAGCATTAGTTCTGATCTGACAGTCTATTGTGCATTAGGGGAAACGCAGCACTGTGGGGCAGATGTGTATAATGCAGCTTTTGGTTATAAAGAAGATTTAGCTTTGGCTAAAAGCAGCACAAACATCTTCAGTTCCATTTACAAGCTATAATTGGATCAGACGCTGTTTTCCACAGAAATGTACCTGGGAAACACAATCATGTACAATTTCAAAGTCATAAAAAAATCCAAGTGCATTTTGGTACACTGCTAACAAGCAGAAGGCACCCAAAGGGTTGGTTTTCATGTAATTTGTCTTGAGTAAACAGCAAACGCATACTCTTTACAGGAAGTTACAAGTAAATTGCGTGAGAGAATCCATCAACACATAATCCACTGGATATAAAAAGAAGAGTTTATGCCTTCAAAGCTTTTGCCTTCTGAAAGAACCCCTAAAGGCAGCCTATGGTAAATTGTAAAATGATGATTTCTCTGCTCTGCTGGACTCCACACATTCAAACAATGTGGCCTCCCTGTGGGTAGTAAAGAGAAACATCAGTCTACCTGCCTGCTGTGTGTTTTGGTCTTAATGGATGTGGTTTAGAGGGGAAACGGGGGGCATCAGCATGAGCTCTGGACTGAGATACGTTCTTTGTGTGTTGTGGGTGTGTACCTTGAACCACAGAGTAGGACGCCTCAACGGACGAGAGATTAGTGATGACCGTGACATCATCATCTCTGTTTGAGCTCTCCATGTCAATATTGATGGTCTCCTCCATCTCACGATGCAGACTGGTCACCACACCAGTGGGATATGTGACGTTGGTTAGACGACCTTCACTGTCATAGCTGAGAAGAAGGCGCACAAGACAAAACTCACTAATATGAATACAATAAATAGCCAATTGCCCAATAGTCTTTGCACAATTATTTCTTGAATTAATTTATAATTAATTTTTTATGTTTTAAATAGTTTGAAACCAGTGTTATTTTAGTACTATTTATATATTATTAAAAGATATGTAATATTTTAAATGAGCTTTTATTTGTATTCTCTTTTTAATTTGAGTTTTTTTAGTTTTAGTAATTTTGTTACGTGCTTTTGTCATTTTTATTAGTTTTTTATCTTCCTATATACCTTTTTTTAAATTTCAGTTTAATTTCAGTGATTGTAGTACTTCAACTTTTCAACAAGCAACAAGGCCGGTTTTTTTATTTTAAGTTTTTCCATCTAATATTTGTATTTTATTTCAGCTTTTTCAGTTGCCAAAAACGACTGGTAATTGAAAAAAAGCTCAAATTATACACATACACAGTGTGCGTGTGTATAAATTTTTTTTTTAATATATATATATATATATATATATATATATACACGTGTGTGTGCGTGTGTTTGTACATATAAAATAAAACACTGTTTGAAACAACCACAACTGTACATCTATTTAAATGTCTAGAGCAGTTCTATCGTACAGACACTAGATGGCTGCAGGACCAAAGTGGTGCTGTGAAAACATCCTCTTCTCTGACACTAGATGAGGATTCAAGTCAGATGATAAACACAGTGTTTAGAAACAAAAGAAGTCAAAATTCATTGTCTATAACAACATCCATGAGGCACTGGGGGCAAATTTTGAACACTCGCACCTTTTACACTCAAAATTTGACCACAAAAACCTGCATTATATTCTCTATCCAGCTTAACAAAGTACTAAATGTGCTGAAATATCACTAGGTCATTTAAAATTAAGTCAATATCAATCATTTCAGTGCAAACAAACCACATTTTATGTAAATCGGGTTTAATCAAGATTATTTTATTAACATTGCCCAATAAACATGGTGTTATTACTACCCACGAAAAGCAGATGTAAACAGAATTTTATTAAAAAGAGATTTCCCTGCATATTGCAGCAGTTATTCATCAAATAATAACCAAACACATGTCTAGAGATCTAGTGCAGTTATTACCCTTATCGTAAGAAAGTTATTCTCATTGAATTCCCCCTGAAATTTTGCGACTAATGAGTTTTTATTTTGTGTGTGTGTGTGTGTGTGTGTGTTTTGGAGTGTTTTAAATTAATTTCCTTAAAGAGCAGGTCATATGGGTTTTTTAAAAATATCTCTTTTGCAGTTTATAACGTAGCTATCCTTAAATGAAAACAATCTGCAAAGTTGTTAATCAAAAAAGTGCATGATAAATAAAGATATTGTCTCAAAAGAGAGAATCGATTCTGAATCGCCTTAACGAGTCGTCATATTTTTGAATCTTTTGCTTGTTACCGGTATACGTCACTGGGTAACACATTTGCATAATCCCCACCTGCCCGCGAAATACGAACAGAGTCTGACCTGCCCACAAACACTTCCGCTAGTTAGTGTGTTTACATCATATCGAGAAGAAGCTGTGTTCCACAATATCACAGCAATACAATTCGAACCTTTTGTTGTGTGCATGTCATTTTACCAAGGACTGCTTCTCTAATCTTGGCTTTTATCTTCGTTGACTTCTAATCTTCTTAATTTGGTCTAACAAGCTCTCCGAAGCACAACCTGTAAGTACGATTTATATTTATTATGTATACATTTTCAATTGAGTGCTCAAAATATCAAGTTTGTGTGCTAATATGTTATGTACACCTTGCGCAGCTTTAGGTTTCCAGGTAAAGCACGATATTACTGTCTTAATGAAGTAGTTCTGATAATTCGCTGTGAACCCACTATTTCACGTTGCTCTGAACTCGCTCGGAACGAACCGTTTAGAAATCATTGGCAAATGACTCTAATATTAAATGTATATTCTGAGAAAATTACAATGTTTTCTGACCTTGCATAAACCTGTTGTGGGGGACTCCAACACAATATTAGGACACTTTAAAATATGACCTGCTCTTTAAGATTTCCAGATTTGCCTTTGTCTCAAAGTTCTATCGTCACACTGCACATTTCATACTCACTTGTAAAAGTTTGTCCATCCGGTCTCATCTGACTTGGAGGCTAAAAGTTCTGTGTTAGTGTAATAACTGAGCTGTGCCACTTCCTGGCTGAGGGCGGACACTGAACGTAGGCTGCCGGCTGGGTCCATTCCCAGCGTTACCACCTGGTTCTCTGGCAACAGCACAAGCCTGATAGAGCCAGACGCCTCCCTCCTCACCCGAAGTGTATTGTTATGTATATTCTGAGAAAATTACAATGTTTTCTGACCTTGCATAAACCTGTTGTGGGGGACTCCAACACAATATTAGGACACTTTAAAATATGACCTGCTCTTTAAGATTTCCAGATTTGCCTTTGTCTCAAAGTTCTATCGTCACACTGCACATTTCATACTCACTTGTAAAAGTTTGTCCATCCGGTCTCATCTGACTTGGAGGCTAAAAGTTCTGTGTTAGTGTAATAACTGAGCTGTGCCACTTCCTGGCTGAGGGCGGACACTGAACGTAGGCTGCCGGCTGGGTCCATTCCCAGCGTTACCACCTGGTTCTCTGGCAACAGCACAAGCCTGATAGAGCCAGACGCCTCCCTCCTCACCCGAAGTGTATTGTTAGAGGCATCGGTAACTGCTGCCAACTCTCCATCCAGCCCGTAGGTAAAGTTATACAGGGCCAAGCCTGTAATGAGGCTAACTGTTTGCCTATGAAGACCGTCTGGACCAAACACATATAGCTCCTGTTCCATAGATGAACCCACTTCATACTGTCCACTTGCTGTGGCGTTAGGGCGGTTACTGCGGACCGAACGTACACGGATATTGTTCAGGTCAGCGATGTACAGAGTACCATCTGGTGACACAGCCAGCGAAGCAGGACAATTGAGGCTGGCGTCCGCAGCGTAGCCCTCATCTCCTGAGAAACAGTTGCAGTTGACGTCATTCTTGCAGTCGCATTCGGAGGCAGCGCCAGCAAGCAGGGAGATCTCGCCGCTGGTGCTAACTTGCCGTATGCGGTTGATGCGCTTCTCGTCGGTTTCGGCAATATAGAGCACACCTGTGTGGGAGATGGCGATGGCTGTGGCGCTCTCCAAGGCAGAATGGATGGCTAGTTTGCTGAGCGAGTAATCAATGCCAGGGACCTGACAGTGCATGGGCCGCCCTGCAATAATGCTGACCTGGTGGTTCTCAGAGATACGCAGGATGACGTTATTCTCCAGCACATACAGAGAGTTGTCCATAGGGTTGATGGCCAGGTCTGTAGGCCACTCCAGACGTACCTGATGTTAAGAAACATTAAATGTGAAGAGTACATTAACACAAAAAATGACAATAATTGGGCATGCTGAGCAGTTGTGGTCTTCGAGTGTAAATTCAGCTTTGCCCAGTGGGATTTCCCTGCCTTTGCTTTTGATATCTCCCTTTCTGTTCGTTTGATCCCCAAAGGGGATCTGTTTTATCCTTGCTTCTGGTCAAACTGAATGCATTTCCCATTTCTGACAGTAGATTTCCTACTGGCATTTAAAAAAAAAAATGTGTTACAGATTCTTCCGAGTGGAACGAATCTGCAGGCCTATGAATTTATTACAGTGATAGACGAATTATGACAGCTGCTTGATTGATAATCCAGTTCCATTGTTTGTCATTGTCAAACGTTAATACCCAAGGAGACACTCTGACAAGCAAATATTGGCGAGCGCAAGCTCAAAGACGCAAGGATGAAACTTGAAGAAAAACGCATTTCATGCAAACTGAAATAAACAGGCTGAAATGTGTTTGCACAACTGTGTTTGACAGTTTATCTTTATGCTTCATGGGGCCTGTAAATTGTTAAAAAAATAGTATTCAGTGAGTTACTTGTTAAATTTATTTAGCTTAAACAGTTAGCCTATTTCCTTAGTTTTACTGTTCTTTTCACTGTATATTTACATTGTCAAAACCTCTACATTAAAACATCAACAATGACAATCTCAATCAAATGTGTTTTTTTTAATCAATATTAATTTATATAGGGTGCCATCAAACTTGCTCAAAATAATTTATAATATACTCTGGTAAACAAATGATCTCTCTCTGACTTTATAAAATAACCTTGATAATTAACAATGTTAGTTTTAATGGATTGTTTCTATGTAAGGACACAAATTTCATTGCTTCTGCATTACAAATGACCTAAACAAATGACAAATGAAGCTGAGTGATTTTCCTATCCATTGAGATTGGTCAGGGTATGTATGTGATATTCAAGAAGTTAATTTGAACTTGCACACACTGCAGACAAATTCAAATAAGATGCAATACATCTATACACATTATAGGGCATCTGAGCTAGGCACTTTAGCACAGATTTCAACAACTGTTCATTTATTTTTAGGAGCCTGAACCTCTCTTGATAGACTCTCAACTGAGTGCAAGGGCTAGAGAGTTGAGAAAAGTAATTACAACCTGGCTGACATCCATGCTGGAGTCACAGCTGAGGGGCCTGACTGCAGTCAGGTCATTGGTCTTTATCAGAGTGGAGATAATGCCATTCTGATCCACTTTTCGTATCATGGTAGCATCCACAAAGTACATCAGGCCGTTCTTATCCAATGCAACACCTGCATGAAAGAACCGACAGTGAAGAAACTCAATACTTGTGCATGATAACGTTATAAATTGTATGATTGCAACAATGTAGAAAACATCCACCTGGTATTAAAGGTACTTTTTCAACTTTAGTTAGTCTGTAATGTTGCTGTTTGAGCATAAAAAAGATCTGCAAAGTTACAAAGCTCAAAGTCCACTTCAAAAGGAGATATTTTATTGAACAGAAATAACTTTTCAAAAACTACATCGAACGACTCGTTTGGACTACAATGCATATTTTCCGGGATTTGTGATATCAAAGGACGAGACCTGGTTGAGCTGCACTAAAGAAGGCAATGAGTGTTATCACTATGTCGGAGACACGCTAGCTTTCCCAAGGC